AATACAATTTAATTTTCTTTATATGAAAAAAATCACTAATGTCTAAACCTATTTTCTTTTAATTAATTTTATTTTAAATTTTTTATCCTAATATGTTATTTTAACAAAAAATATTTTTATTGTTAATTAACAGTATCTTTATACATTTATCAACTACTTTTATATAATTTTACATACATATACATGTCGACATTGACGTGAGTACCTATATAACTAATTATTCGCCACAAATGAAGTATATAATTCTCTTGAAAGTTGAAATATTATTTTTTCTTAATGCATCTTTCATTATTGACCAAATTGTAATGAAATGGTTTTTCTTGATAATTATATTTTCTTTATCTTCAAATATTATCCATTTAGAAAATATAATATGAGACCATTAGTTTGACGCCAGATCTATCTAAAATTCATATAACATGAAACCAAAAAAATAATAATAGTTTTTGGTTATCACTGGAAAAACTAAAAACATCAAACATTTTAATCGAGAAAACCAAAATAAATTTGATTTGAAATGAGTTATAATTTAGGATATTAAAAATCGAGAAAACTAATCTGATATCGAACCAATATCCAAATTAAACAGATTTAATGTCTCCTTATTAGAAATAACGAAACTAATAATCACATCCTGCTCAAGGCGCGGATTATTACCTAATGTGTATTATTTGTCGAAACGAAAAATTAAAGAGTGATTCTTTCAATTGAGTCTTGACAAATGCATGTCCTGGTTCTGTTTTGAAGATGCATGTTCTCGATCCCAGCCTTGATGGACCAGATTTGTTGGTGTGAAGGTGTGTTGAATATGCCTTGAATGGCGTCGATAGGTCGATCAAGAGTCACAGGTCAATCATTGTTGGCACGGATCCTTGTCAAAATTCTTGAAAAATATGGAAAATTCATAAGACGTTTTATAAATAATCTGTAGGGTTTTAACCCTAATGTGTAGTAAGAAAGTTGTAGTCTAAATTTTGCCTCCATCAATATGGAAGATCCCTTTATCCGGGTTTAAATCTTTGTCTTTCTTTATGCTTATCAATCTGTTAATATGTTTCTTCTCACATCTGTCACAATAAATTGGTATAGAAGATTCAACGTAATGTTTCTTCTTTGTTGATGTGATTTTGGGTGTTTTCCGATTAGAAAGAGAACGAATCTTCCTGCCATGGTTTGATCTGCTTCTGAGTGCATTATAATTGTAATGATGATTGATGAGTACCGATCCCCCTAGAACCATGGAAATGTTACCTAATACAGTAACAATCTAAGGCCTTTCAATGTAGGATCCCAAGGCTGTTATGGAATTAACTTGTCGGAACTGCCACTGGTGGGTTATGTACGCACAGTGAGAATATTTTGAGATCTAGCTCAGAGTATGTGCAGTGCAACGTAACTGGCTCTTTCTCTTGTTGAATGTGCGCATTGTTCGTGTTCAACCTGAACTATTTAGGTTTACCCCCAGAAGCTGTGAAAAGGTCTTTGTAAGTGATGCTTCTGAAAGTAATGTTGTATCACTAGGTATTGGAGAGGCACCGTTACAGGACATGGTGTATGGAGGCTATGCTTTCACTGATCAAATATTATGGGGGAGGGGGACCTCCTTATGCATTTTCTTGGTGAATACAATGAAAAAGGTCCTCTTTGTAGAATTTAGAGGTGATGACTCAAGCAGACAAAACTATCTCATGTAAGTGGTTACAACATTGTCTGCGTAGAGCTGATAACTTTTTTTATTAATATTGGAGTGTAAAACAGATACATTGTCTTAGCACCTTCTGCTCAATTAAGTACAACATTTTGCTGCTTCCTTGGACACTTTTTAGGAAGTGGTTTCCCACAGAGTAACTCATTTCCAAAGTAAATGAATGGATCTTTGAACTTCAGCTTCTTAGGTATGCTCCCCTCCAGTTTATTTTCGGAAAGATCAAGTTTCTTCAGTGAAGATATCGCTGCCAAGCTCTCAGGAATAGAACCAGAAAACATGTTATTTGATAGATCAAGCGTCTCCAAACGATCAAGCTTCCCCAAGCTTTCTGGGATTTTCCCGTTCATGGAATTGAAACGAAGTGCAAGTGTCTTCAGTGACGCCATGTTTCCTACCGAGGAAGGGATCGAACCCGTGAAGGAATTGAATGAAAGATCCAGAATCTGTAGATTCTTCAATGCACCAAGCGACTCAGGCAATGTCCCATTCAAACCGATGGAATTAAGAACGAGATTGACCAAGCTATTTTCTTTGTTTTCAGACAAGGCGTCAAGAAACCTGTGGATTTGACCTTCGAAATTATTTACAGAAAGGTCAATATACTTCAGTTGGGGAAGATCTCCAAGAACCGCTGGAATTTCTCCCGAAAGTACATTTCTAGACAGAACTAGCGTCTCTAGAAGCTGAAGCTTTTTGAATCCGGAAGGAATCGACCCCTGGAGATCAACCGATTGGAGGAATAGCTTTCTGAGGTTGGTGAGATCAAATAGCCAGTTGGGTATCGGCGAACTGAGAGGGTTTCGAGACAAATCAAGAACTTCAAGGAGCTTCAGATTCGCAGAGGAAGGTAAAGAGAGAGGTAAGTTCTTGAGCTCACAGTTGAACAAATGCAACTCCTTCAGCTTCGAGAGTTTACTGAATTCCTCTGACCAGGTTTCGCCGGCACCGCTCAGACTCACAAACCCCATGTTGAGGTAAGTCAGTGAAGAAGACAAACCTGAAAGCCAACCGAGGTTGCTTGCACGCAAAGTATACGAAGTTGGACCATCGTCACTAAACGTCTGAGCGTACAAATCAAGAGACTCGAGCTTCGACAAATTCCCAAGATTCGCAGGAACTTCACCAAAAAATGATGAGAAAGAAAGATTCAGGTACCTTAGACTAACAATGTTGCCGATAAAAGCAGGAATCTCCAGGAAGTTGAAATCATTTGAACTCAAGTCCAAATAGCCCAAGAACTTGAGACGGGTCAAAGACGGATTTATCTTACCCCCCAAGCCACCCTCTTTAAACCCACCGTAGAGCCTAAGTGTTTGATTTGGATTTCTGAGATCAATCTTGATGACGTGGCTTGTTCTGCGGTCGCAGCTAACACCACGCCATTTGCAGCAGTCAGGTCCAGACCAAGAAGAGAGTCGATCAAATGGATCCGTAAGTGATTGTTTGAAGGTGAGAAGAGCTTGGCGTTCGCTGGATATACATTTAGGACTAGATGCTGATACCAAATCGGGTTTTTTGAGAAGAAAGATGAAAATCAGAAAGGAGAATAAGAAGCTTGGCCTGAGCTTGAGGTCCATACTTCAGTTTTATGTTTGTTGGTTTCGTTATGCTTTCTTCTTTTTGTCAAACGTGTATATATAGATGTGTTGAGACGCAGACATAGACCACCAGAATATATGTATATATATATATATATATATATATATATATATATTTAAATACGAATTATGTGGTCACGTGAAAAATAGCTGGCGTGCATGGAAGTTGCAGTTCGATATTTGACCATCATTACATGGCTCGTGGTGATGTTTTGTGAGAACGACTAATTGATTTAATAATAAATAGCGATTATATATTTTTGTTAAGATATGGATTTTGTACCGACGTAATTCCCATTTGACTTGCAAATTCCAAAAGAACTTCTTTGTCCTTTCAAATAATTTTAGAATATATTTGATGTCAAAGAAAATATAAATTAGGCTTTGGCTAAAAATAGGGTTTTCTATTTGGGAGAAATGAGAACACTAAACAATACCATAGACAATGGTTAGTTTCTTAAACAATTGAATAAAATCTTCGTTCCAATTCTCCTTTTGTTGAAGTTTTCTGCAAGAAGAAAACAGGCTTCTCGAAGTAAAAAAAAAAAGGAAAAAATTTGGGCTGACTCACTTATGACTCACTTACAAGTTTGTCAGAATTATAATGTAGAAGTCTATATGGGCATTCTTACCCCAAACTGAAGGCCCCTACCCTAACACAAACAAGAAAAAGATCAAAATTCATCTTAACCGTTATACAAAATAACTGAACATGACTTTAGAGCTTGGTAATTTGGGATATGAATATAAACAGAACCGGACCAAAATCTGAACTAAGATTTGAAAATCGAAAATTAGTTAAATATGTTAATGTTGTTATATATATATATATTAAGGTAATTTATATGTTTTAGAGTATTTTACATATTTTTGTAGTTTGTTTTATTTGTTGTTTTGAATACTTTTTAATTATTTTAGGTAACTACCTAATTTTTAATTAGATTTGTGATAATTATAGATTTTAAGTATTTTTTCAATATTTTTAGTTTTTTTTAATATATATTTTGGGTTATTTATCCGAACTGAACTCGGAAGGAACCGAACGAACATAATCTGATAGTTAGTAAAATCCGAATGAGACTTATAACCGTAATATTGAAAACCCAAAAATTTGAATCAACCGAATCGAATTCGACATCCACCTGAACGCCCAGGCCAATGTAGAAGTCTATGTTGAGAAATTAATAACTCCTTCTCTCTCTCTCTCTCTCTCTCTCTCTCTCTCTCTCTCTCTCTCTCTCTCTAGATCACAATTCCATTGATCAATCTGTTTTCAGCGTTTCACGTACGATGGTCAAATCTCTTTCTATTGATTTACATAAGGTTGCTGAGTTCTTACTGCATGATTTTGATGAGTTTCAATCCTCCAAGAATAATTGGAATATACATTTTGGCGTACGGAGGCTATGCATTCACTAGTCTATGCTTAGCTATTTTTCAAATTTTATGTGGGGGACCTTCTTGTTCATTTACTTGGTGAATATAATGAAAACAGTCCTTTTTGTATAAAGAAGAAGTCACGACTAAATCAGACATGACTAACTTAAAAAAAAAAAAAAAAAAAGACATGACTAACTTCTATAAGTGGTTACAACATCAAAAGCGTAGAGCTAATAACTTTATTATAAAATATTGGAAATTAAACAGAAACATTGTCTTAGCATCTTATGCCCAATTAGCTACACAACATTCTGCTAACACTTTTTAGAAAGTGGTTTCCCACAGAGTAACTCATTTCCAATGTAAATGGAGGGATCTTTAAACTTCAGATTTTTAGGTATTCTCCCCTCCAATTTATTGTACGAAAGATCCAGCGTATGCAGAGAAGATATTGCTACCAAGCTCTGAGGAATGGCACCAGAGAGCTTGTTACTTGATAGATCAAGGGTCTCCAGGTGACCAAGTTTTGAAATATTCCCAGGAATGCTTCCTGCCATGGAACTTCTTGATAAATTCAGGATTCGAAGGTAAGTGAGGTCAAAGATCTCCGTTGGGATTTCTCCGTGTATGTTGTTTCCAGAAAGATTTATGCTATCGCGTATTTCCTGGTATACGTAGTACTCGTCGACGCTTTTATGTTGCACAATGGCTGTGAGATTGCCGATGCATTTTGGAACCGGGCCCGATAATTTGTTCTCCGAAAGATCCAGAATGTGTAGACTCGGGGTGGTGCAGAGATCATCTGGGATTTGACCATCAAAGGAGTTACTTTCCAAACGAAGCATGGTCAGAGAAGACAACTTACTAAGCCACGATGGAAGTTTCCCAGTCAGCTTGTTTTCTCCAAGATGAATGTGTGTAAGGCCAGAGCAGTTCTGAAAAGTGTCTGGAATATTACCTTCCAATGCATTTTGGTTCAGAAGCAAGAAACTAAGACGAGGTAACACACTGAGAGACTCTGGTATTTCGCCTGATATGTTGTTCTCAGACGCGTCAATTTCATTAAGCTCCGACGAACCAAGCCAGCAATTTGGGAAACTACCAGAGAAATGGTTGTTTCTTAGATTGAGGATTTCCAGTCCTGTGAGTTGACATAGAGACGACGGGATTTCTCCAGTGAAGCTGTTACGGAAGAGGTTTATCCTTTTCATTCTTGGCATCAAGACATCAATGTCAGGTGGAAGAGAACCCGAGAAGTTGTTCTGGTAAAGAAAAAGCTCTGCTGCGTTTGTTTTCCAGCGAGGGAAAGGGCCTTGGAAGTTGTTGGAGCTCAAATCAAAGGCTAATAAATTTGGGAACACTAGGTTTTGAGGTAATGTACCTTTGATTCTGTTGTTTTCTAGATACAGTTCAGTTACATCGGAAGCTATTCTCGAGAACCAGCTGTGTGGTATTTTATCGGCAATCGCAGTGTTCCTGAGTGTGATGCAGTTGAGTTTGTCTTGTACTTGAAGCCACATTGGAAACAAAGGACCGATCTGGCAGTTCTGGATGCTGATTTGCTCCAGTCTGAAAGGAGGAACCCATGTCGATGGCACCTTAAAGACAAGAGATCTGTTTGGTTCAGTTGTGAGACTGAAGCTTTTCAAGCTTCTAAGACTGAGGAAATGAGACTTCCGTAGAACACCTTCCCACTTGTTGGCCATCAAGTTTAGATCCAAAAGCTCCTCAAGCTTCCCCAAGCTTTCTGGGATTTTCCCGTTCATGGAATTGTAAGAAATATCAAGTTTCTTCAGTGACGCCATGTTTCCTACCGATGAAGGGATCGAACCCGTGAAGGAATTGCCTGTAAGTTCCAGAATCTCTAGATTCCTCAACGCTCCAAGCGACTCAGGCAATGTCCCTTCTAAACGGTCGAAATTAAGACGGAGAGAGAGCAAGCTGTTTCCTTTGTTTTTGGAGAAAGCGTCAAGAAACCTGTGGATTTGACCTTGGAAAGAGTTTTCAGAAAGGTCGAGATACTTCAGCTGAGGAAGGTCTCCAAGAACCGCTGGAATTTCTCCCGAGAGTTCGTTACTAGAGAGAACTAGCGTCTCTAGAAGCTGAAGATTCTTGAATCCGGGAGAAATCGACCCCTGGAGACGAACTGATTGGAGGAATAGCTTTCTGAGGCTAGTGAGATCAAATAGCCAGTTGGGTATCGGTGAATAGTGATAGTTTCGAGACAAATCAAGAACTTCAAGGAGCTTCAGATTCGCAGATGACGGCAAAGAGAGAGGTAAGCTCCGGAGCTCACAGTTGAACAAATGCAACTCCTTCAGCTTCGAGAGTCTACTGAAATCATTTAACCAGGTTTCACCGGCACCGCTAAGACTCACAAACCCCATGTTGAGGTAAGTCAGTGAAGGAGCCAGACTCGAAAGCCACCCGAGATTGCTTGCGCGCAAATTTAGCGTAAATATATCATCACTAAACGTCTGAGCGTAGAGATCAAGAGTCTTGAGCTTCGACAAATTCCCAAGACTCGCAGGAACTTCACCGGAAAACGATGAGTAAGAAAGATTCAGGTACCTTAGACTAACGATGTGGCCTAAAAACTCGGGGATCTCCGTGAAGTTGAAATCATTTGAACTCAAGTCCAAGTAGCTCAATAACTTGAGACGAGTCAAAGACGGATGTATCTTACCCCCCAAGCTACCCTTTTCAAATTCACCGTTATGCCTAAGTGTTTGATTCGGGTTTCTGAGATCAATCTTGGTGACGTGGCTGGTTCTTTGGTCGCAGCCAACACCGCGCCATTTGCAGCAGTCAGGTCCGGACCAAGAAGAGAGTCGACCAGAAGGATCAGTAAGTGATTGTTTGAAGGTGAGAAGAGCTTGGCGCTCGCTGGATATACATTTAGGAGTAGATGCTGATCCCAAATCGGGTTGTTGGAGAAGAAAGATAAAAATCAGAAAGAAGAAGAAGAAGAAGCTTGGCCTAAATTTGAGGTCCATGCTTCGGGTATGTGTTTTTAGTTATGCTCTATTATTTTTGTCAAAGGTTAATTTATAAATGTTTGAAACGCAAACATACTAGACCACCATTACATGTATATATTTAAATACCAATATGGTCACGTGAAAGATGGCTGGTGTGCATGGAAATAAGTGCAGTTCAATATTTGAGCATTATTAGAAGGCTCGTGGTGGTGTTTCCTGGCACGAGGACTCCTTGATTTGATGATAAAATAATGTATATATTTTCTTAAGATGTGGATCTTGCCTATTACTCTCTGTCGATAGATCTGGATAGATTCTTGTCGATCGATTTGTATCGGATCTTGTCAATCGATTTGTATCGGATCTTGTCGATCGATGTGCAACAGATAGCGTCGATGTGAATGTGATTCACCAGAACTAAACGAGTTTTCTTCCACGAAATCGTCCTCTTGCATTTTCACATGCTTCATTTCTTATCAGAAATCATCAGCATTGACGTAGTGTTTCATACCTTCATCCCCTTCTTCTTAACAGCTTCTACAGTCTGAACTACATGTATCTCAAACTATCTCACCTGAGTATCATAAGTCTCAATCTTGATACCCAGAATTTTGTAGATATAATTAATATTTTCATTGAAGTCCACTGTTAGCCTTTGATGTCCTTCAAAAACTTGATCAAGCATGGCTTCAATCTTGCTCTCTTGAGTATGATGTGGTGGATTTTGGTAGAATGAATTTTCATAACCTTTGTTGCTGCTGTAACTGTTGCTGTAGGGTTTCTGATATTGTGAATTCTGATTAAAGTTACTTCTCTGAACATTACCATTGAAGTTCATATTTCCAATATGGTTTCCAGACCTCTGAAATTCAGTACCTCCAATGTAATTCACATCTGCCTCTAACTCTGTATGTATAGCTTCTGCATCTCTAGATGAGCAGACTTGCTTCATAAGCAGTTGGTAGACAACGTCCAACTTAGCTTTCACTTCCTCCATCTGCTCCTTTCTAAGGAATGCCACAGATTTCTTCCTTTCAGAGTCAGTGGTCTTGGTGCTGCTGATGTTTGCTAGATTCTAATAAGTTTCACAGTCTCTTGTGGATTCCTGGTATTGAAGTTCTCATCGCTTGCTGTAACAAGAGCCATCTGATATTTCAAAGTGATTCCTCTAAAAAAAGTTGAGTGTTTGCACCTCATTGAATCCATGGTGTGAAAAGTCACGCTGAAATAACTTAAATCTGATCCAAGAGTCTTTCAAGGACTCTCCAGCTTTCTGTGCAAAAGTAGCAATCTTGCTCCTCAGTTCTTCAGCATGTGCCTCATCAAAGAAGTTGCGCAGGAACGCATTCTTGATGTCGGCCCAAGATGTAAGAGATCCTGGTGGTAGCTATTTGGGCTAATGCACATATCTCCAGCAAGTGAGTATTTGAAGAGCTTGCAAAGTAGGTAATCCTCAGGGACTCCTTTAACTATAATAGCAGCAACAAGATCCTTAAACCTCTCAAGATGGCGATCTATAGGATGCTCGTGGGGTAACCCACAGTAGGGTATCTGTGCCACGAGTGTGTAGTACTAGGGTTTCAACTCGAAATTATCCCTCTGGACATCTGGAAGATGAATAGCTGACCTGTTGACATAGTTTTGGTCTGGACGAATGTAATCTTCCAAGGTCTTGGGTCGAGTGGCCTCATCAGTGTCAAGTTCATGGTTTAAAGTCCCCTGATCATCTAGTCTCTGACCTCTTGCATTACGCAGATGACCCTCCTGGTCCTGCAGGTCTCCATTCTCGTCTAGAGTAAGTATCAGAATCGCAATAATGTCTTGCGGTTAAGTATCGATCGATGTATGGTGTGTAGGATCGATCAATGTCGAGTGAATGAAATTGGTTGACGAAGAAGTGTTGATGTCGATTGATGAAGGATGAACTGAATCGGTCAACGGAGAAGTGTGGATGTCAATCGATGTAAGAGCAAGATCGATTGACGATGGTTGAGAATCAGTCGATATGCAAGTGTTGCTATCGATCGATGTGGAGCATAGGTCTTTGCGGATCGAACGTTCCAAGCTTGATGGGTCTTCTGAAAATAGCAGTTGTTTTTCTTTGTTGTTTCTGGTAATGCTGTTCATACACCTGAAAAGTAAAAAAAAAAAGAAGTTGTGTCAGAAGATGGTAAAAAAAAAAGAAAAACCTAGAATTATCAGACTAAATTGAATGGCGATCAAAGCTCTCCGGCAACGACGCCAAATTTGATACCACTCAAATTACCCTAAGGAGTGACTTCACTCTCTCAAATAAGAGATCAGTTGTAGTACTTAGGGATCGAATCCACAAAGAGTTAGGGAACCAATTTAATCTAATCAAGTAGTAATGAGGTAAAACAGAAAATAGTAAATATCAAGTTGAGCAAGACAATTACTTCACTGAATAGATTGAGTTTTGAACTAAATTGGAAAGGTGTTAGACTTAGGGTTTTTATTTAGGTATTGGAGATTATAATCCTATAGGTGTTAACTAGTTGTTTGCATGGTATTAAAGAGCTTAACCTCTAAATAACAAATTCATTAGGCTCTCGCTTACTGAATAAGTCTATTAACTAGATTTTTATTGACCCAAACAATAATGTCCGATCAATAACAGTGTTGATCGATACTCTATAGGAATATCGATCACTACACTTTATTCGACGTCGATTGATTTCTGATTGGAATATCGATCGATGCGGTTAGTTAAACTTTATGTGCGAGTTAATCTATACTCACTGTGGATCCCTAGATCAAGCTCTCGCCCTATTTCTAGTAAAATCCTAGATTAATAGAATAAATTCAGGATAATCAGAATTGTCTAAAGGTTGCTTAAACAATCTAAAACTCCTAAGTTCAGGTTTCTAATTAGCAAGTTTAGAAAATTAGCATTAAGAACATCTTATTAATGAATACCCCCAACAAGCGATCCTATAGTTGTGGCTAATCTCACTAACCTATTTAAACCCTAACTCTAACAAGTAAATTACTCAGGCATGGCTAAACAAATCATAACACAAGCAAGGTAAATAAACTTCATAAATATAGATAGATAGAAAAACAATGAAGTTCCAATCACAAATCTCTCTGGATCTTCTCTCACAAACTAAAAATCCTAAAAACCTTTTGCTGTGTAAAAAGAATACAAGAAAGCTCTCATTTGTCTAAACCACCTTGGCAAATTATAAATACTTAGGTTAAAATTTGCCAGGGGCATAATTGTAATTTGGTGAAGTCTTGGGTTTCAAGTTAGTTGCTTTGCGAGTTGATCTTCTGCGCCTTCGGCATCGATCGATACTGCATTGAGCATATCGATTGATATTGATCATCTCTCCGTGTTAATTTAGTTATGCTGTCGATATCCAAACCAAGTGATTTTTCCAATTCTCTCTAAAATGCTCTAAAAATATCACATTTTTTTTTCCAAAATACTTCTAAACTTATAAATATGTTTAAAAGCTTTTACAATATAATAAATAGTTATAAAAACACAATATACCATGATTAGAAGTGGATCAGTATATTACGTCTTTACGATGAATCATTTTTTCATAAATTTACGAAAATTTCTTGAAAAAATATACGTTACGACAAACATGGTGTTTTGGCCCACGTCGGAATTAACCATGAAAACGACCGTTGCTACTTTAATATTGTCTCTTTTTGTCAAACGTTAATTTATAGATGTTTGATACGCAGAATATTAGCCCCCATTACATGTATTTATTTAAATACGACTCAACGAATATGAACACGTGAAAACTGGCTGGAATGCATGGAAGTAATTAATTGCAGTTTGATATTTGAGCGTCAGTAGAAGGCTCGTGGAAGTGTTTCCTCGGACGACCACTCCTTGATTTAATAATAAGAAGTCATATTATATATTTTCTTTTTTTGGTCAACTTTATTTATATTTTCTTAAGATGCGGATCTTTCCTGGTACACATGATTTAGTACTAAACGATTTAGATTAATTGTTAAACAATGTCTAGTAGGGCTGGACAAATAAATCCGAACCCGAAAATTTGAACCGAACCCGACCTGATAAAAAAGAATCCAAATATATCCGAACCCGACATATATACCGAATATATTTTGTTTGATGGTATTTCGAGTTATGGGTTTTACCCGAACCGAATCCGAACTTAAATGAATATCCGAAAGAACTCGAAACTTTAAAATTTTAAAAATACGTGTACCCTATCCAGTCTCAAATTCTAATATGTTTCTAAAACATATTAAGATATTATTGAGTACCTATAATAATTTGTTATTATATGAATAATTAACTCAAATATTTAGTCTAATATATAGTTTTATTTGTTTAATATTAATGTTTATGTTTTACATTACATTTGAAGTTTAGTTATGAATAAATTTGTTTGGAATTTTAAACAGTTTTGATGTTTTTTTAATTTTGCATAATATTTCTTATGTTTATAGAATTTTAAGTTGTTAACTTTATTTTTTTTCTTTAATTATGTATGATTTTTGTTATAAAAGATTATGTTTTATCATTATTCACAATATGTTTAGTGTCATCATGTATATCAAAGATAAATCTTATATGGTTGATAGACTAGTTTCACAATATTATTTTGAAGGACAATATTATAGTTTGAAGAAGCTAAATACAAAAATTTATTAAAACGATTGAAAATATATTGAGTTTAATTGAGTATAAATTAGTATTTGTGAAACCAATAACCCGATTAGTTCTGAAACCAAAACTATTTCGTGTTCAACAGGATCTTGGACATGTTACTAAACCCAAACCAAACCCGAGATAACCCAAACCGAATCCGACCCGAATTTTTATAACATCCGAATGGTGCTGAAATTTTTGAATCCGAAAATCCGAATTCCGAATAAACCCGAACTGAAACCCGATTGGGACCCCGATTGCCCAACCCTAATGTCTAGTGTGCCGCTAATGATGTTAACGAGTCTATCTAAAGAAATTTAAATAGCAAATTATTTTGATTGTATATTGT